ATGGTTCATGAGGTTTTTCAAATTGTTGCAAACCTTCAAAAAAAATTCTAATATACTTACTGAATAAAATCTGCATATAAGTGAACCCACAGAGTTCAAAATCTGGGTTATCCAAGGCTCAACTGTAGTGTAATATATACTATGATTGGGAAAAGAAGTGTACTTTGGAAGAAAATAAACTGTGGGTGAGGAAAAAAATCTAAAAAAGGCATCTAGGTTGTCATGGTATTCTCATAAGAAAGGCACAAATTGAATTAAGATAATTCATATCATACTACTGAATACATACATCAAACAATAATGATTCTACAATTATTTCTAGCAAAAACCTCCAAAATAGCAACTTTAAGACATATGCAAATATAACCAGTGGGAACTCAAAATAAGCATTCAAAAACTAGTCATTCTGACCACCCTCCTCCCAAATAAAAGGAAAAAGAGAAGAAAGGAAGTGGGAGGGTGGAGGGGTGGGATGAACATTATGACTATGTGGATCAGTACCACAAAAAAAAGTTTTTAAAAAGTAATGCAAAATCAGGTATCAGGTTTTTGGGTGTCTTCAGTTGTTTTAGGTATATTTATTTCATGGATCTGGGCAGTGAATTTATTTAGTAGCAATTCAAAACATGGTTTTTCACTCCTGCCAGATATTTCTATTCTTAAACCAGATCACCATAGTGGTTAGCTGAAAACTGATTTATCTAGTCTATCAACGACATCAATAACAAAAATTTCCTGAAGTTGCAATTCAGAAAAATTCAGATGGACAAGTCTGAAGTTCCCAAGTTTCCTAAAAGTCCCCAACTCAACAATTAGGTTTCAGCTTACAATTTATCAAAATAGTAAACAGGTTTTCCAAATTAAAATACCTAGAGATAGACAAAAGTAAACTAAAATGGGTACTCTTAATATGATGTTAGTGCAAGTACAAATCCATGCCTACATCTGTAATCCCTGGTCATTTTATTTTGGGGAATTTATTTTAAAATATTCAGAAGGGCTGTCCAAAATTCAATTACAAAGATATTATCTACCATATTGCTAATAAGTGTGAAAACTGAAAAATATCTTAACTATCCCACAATGAATGGCTAACAGTAGCATACTACACCCATTATGAAATATAAGACATGCAAACAGTATAATTTAATGACTACTTAATGATACAGAAGAAAGTTAATGGTATAAATGCTAACTAAGAAAAAAATATTATTCTAGTTTCTTAAAAACAGGTTATTCTAGTTACTCAGAAATTAACACTGGGTAGTAAAAACCAAGTGACCAACTTCCTTTAAATTTTTCTATAGTTTCTTTTTTTCTACAAAGAATATTTCATATAAACTAAAAATTATAAAAAGAAAATGAACGCATCTATTAAGTTTTGCTTTAAAGTAGAATTAGGCAGTGATTAGACTAATCAAATAGAAGGTGAAACTGTCTGAACCAGGTTCATATTATTTAGAACTCTCCTAGTCCACTGTTAAGAGGTAACAGTAAATGATCATGTTTCTACATATCATGTTTCTTGACAAAAAAGTAAAGCAGTGAGATACAATGAATAATAAACTGAAATTTAGTGAAAAATCAGAAAAATGGCCAATGGATACTAAGAGTAAGCCTTTCCTTCCTACGACCAGTCATCCTTTATTCTAGAGCATAAAATGCTTGTTTTCATACCCAAAATGAGCAAAAACGTTAGATAAAATGGTTGGATTACTCTAAAGGTCATAGATGTACCTGTGTAACGGATTTATCCTAGAGGATCCCTGGAACTGGCAATTGTGAATACCAGAATGGCAGACTTTCCTAGATAACACTCAACAAGATGCAGGGAAAGTCCATGATGTAGTATTCAAGTGTTACACGTGGATGGGGTTTCTTTAAGTGAAAAAGGTTTACTCATTGTTTTCATTTGTTAGTGTAAATACCACTTTGCATAAAAGTCCAAATCAAACATAATTTTTTCTCTGGTTAAGCCTACAGAGGGTAATTGTTACATAGACAGAAATGGTCTGTTGTAGAGAAGATGCAAGTACAATGAAGCTCCTTTTTTAAATTTTTTTAAACTTCTGTTTATATTGGTACTATCTTCACAAATGAATAATGTAAAATAATGTTGAAAATAATTAAAACAAATTCCTTGACATAGTATCCATGTTACAATAAACATACTCAATAAAATAAGTATAAGAAATTACTTCATGATTAAATCATTGTATAGAACCTGTACCTTAAAATATTTTTATCCTAAGATTTGTATTTCTAAGAAAGTTTGATTACTTCAAGATACACAATTTAAAATTATTATGTTTAATAATACCCTAAAAATATTTCCACAGATTTATCAAAAGTGCTGTTTTTGTTTAAAATATAAATTGTCAATTTTTTTAAAGTGTATCTTTTTTATCTACTGTCACCTTTTCATATTCAATATAATTTTTTTTTTTTTTTTTTGAGTTGGAGTCTCACTCTGTCACCCATACTGGAATACAGTGGCCACTCCCGGCCACCGCAGCCTCGACCTGCTGGGCTCCGGCGATCCTTCCGCCTCAGCCTTCCAAGTAGCCAGAACTACAGGCATGCACTACCATGCCCGGCTGATTTTTTGATTTATTGTAGAGATGAAGTCTCGCTGCCCGGGTGGGTCTCGAACCCATGGGCTCAGGCAATCCACTCACCTCAGCCTCCCAAAGGTGCGGGATTACAGGCTGAGCTACCGAGCCCAGCTTCAAAACAATTTTTTAAAAAGGGGTCCTTAGAGGTAATTTACTCCAACTCTCTCATTTTATAAATGAAAAAGACACAGAGAAGGTACAACTTTCTGAAAGACACATAGTTACTAATACAACTTCTAACTCAATACTCTTTCCTGGGATAATACATTTCAGAACTAAAGTAGCTTACGCAATGATTATAATCTAATAAATCAGTAAGAATTTCAACATTATAAACACACTAATCTATTTGCTATAATAGGTGAACTTATTTGCTTAGTATAATATGAACTGAATATTTTCAGATACATGGAGCAATAAAAATTTAATGTTAAATAACTTCTGATCATAAGACTAACATAAAAATCCCCTTTTCTATATGGCTTTCAACATCACACAGTTAAAAAAAGAGAAGACTGCATACTCTAATAGTGCACAAATACAGATTTTAGTTTACATTTAACTTGCTTATTCATATTCCTTACAAAAATCTATCGACAATTTATACAAAATTCTTCTCTTCTAAGGAATTAATTTTGTCAAGTTAATGGAAACTTTACAATTTCTGAGTTTACTTTTAGAATAGACTGTCAGGGTAATAAAGAACAAACTATCTGGAAAATAGAAAGCAGCAGATGCCATACCAATTTATGTAAAAACCAAAACATTTTTTTGTTTGTTTGTTTTTTGAGTTGGAGTCTCACTCTGTCGTCCAGACTGGAGTGCAATGGCCGCTCCCGGCCACTGCAGCCTCGACCTGCTGGGCTCCGGCGATCCTTCCGCCTCAGCCTTCCAAGGAGCTGGAACTACAGGTGCGCGTTACCACGCCCGGCTAATTTTTTTTTTCTTTTTTTCATTGTAGAGATGAGGTCTCGCCAAGTTGCCCAGGAGGGTCTCGAACCCACGGGCTCAGGCAATCCACTCAACTCAGCCTCCCAAAGGATTTACAGGCTGAGCCACCGAGCCGGGTTTCTGCCAAAACATTTTTGTCAGATACAATACTAACAGTATTCCTACTTTTTTCAATACCAAGTTAGGGTCCACATTTCCGTATCTTTGCACTGATGTAAGAAAAAGTATTTTATTAATGACCCAGAAAATCAATTATTTTTGTTTCCCATTAAAAAAGATAATATTCTGGTAATAGTTCAATCATCATTTCTAAAGTTATTTAAGGGTTAAGTAACAATAAGGAGTAGACGCAAGGAGGGGGGGTAAGAGACGTGAGGAAAGAGGGAATGGAAAAGGACGATGAGGATACAAAAGCATCTGAATAATTTCTTATCAGATGGCATCCTTCAAAATTACTTTCAAAGTCTTATCTAAGATTCCCAAATATGAACTTTAATAGTTGTTATTGTCTTAGAAATAACAATGAAGTGTGAAAAGTACTCTCAATGGTAGCTGGTACATTAGTAAATGTTAGCTCTTATTTTTGTTAAAAGAACATTTTATTATATTATGGAAAAGTTTCACTATGAGACATTAGTCTTTCTATGGGAGACAATAATATGCTAGGAGAGGATCTTGCACCCACAGGCAACTCAAATAATGTGCTCCTGCTAAGACACCCACCCAATACAAATCTAGTTGTACAGACTTCTGTATACTCATTACTCACTTACAATAAGAAATTGCTCCTCCAAAAAAATGTAAAAAACTTCCATCACCCCACTGATGGTTGTTCTTCCCCTAAAGCAAAATGATTCCAAAGATGGATACAGCTTTTAAAAACAGATCAGTGATTTTGCTCCTCCCTCACAAACATGGGCTTTCCCCAGTTAAGTATCTGAGCAATGTCTATAACTGTCTGTTAAACTACATTTAGTTGAGTTATGAATTATTTTTATATTTGGTGGTTAAATAAAATTTCCAACAAATAATCACCTATTCTTTATCAATAGAAACATTACAATAATTTTTTTTTTTAAGTCAGAGTCTCACTCTTGCTCAGGCTAGCATACAGTGGCACAATCATGTCTCACTGCAGTCTTGACTTCTGGGCTCAGGTAATCTTTCTGACTTAGTCTCTCAAGTAGCTGGGAATATAGGTGAGCACCACCATGCCCAGATAATTTTTTGAATTTTTTTACAAAGATCAAGTCTCACAATGTGGCTCAGGCTGGTCTTAAACTCCTGGGCTCAAGCAATCCTCTTGCCTCAGCTTCCCAAAGTGCTGAGTCTACAGGCTTGACCTATTACACCTGGCCAACATTACAATAATTTATATGTAAACTGGCAAAAGGGGTTGATGCCCAAATTTAAGATTTGAAAATTATTACTTACTGCAGGTACCAATAATTTCTTCACTTCTTCAACTGCTCTCTTCAGCTTGATTTCTGCTCTGTTCTGAGCATCTTCCACAGTGATTAGTACATGTAAATCTTCATTTAGATGCTCCCAATTGGGTTTGCCTCTATTTTGCTCCTCCTGAAAAATTTACAAAGTACACTATTACTAAATGACAGAGTACATCTTTCATAATACTAACCTGCTGCCAATTACCTCAGCTAGTTTACATTATTCTGCTATGATAACATTACAGACCTTTGGAGTTATTTTCCTGGGTGCCCCCACCCCTCAAAAAAGCTTTAGTTGAGACTACTGGATCAAAAGATAGTTAATTCAACAAGTATTTGTTTAGCACCTACTAAGTACCATGCATGGAACCAGATGCTAAGGATATAGTCCCTGAAATGTTCCTATGTACTAAGAAACTTATATATCATCCATAAATTATCATGAAAAACACTTTGAGAAGCAAGTTATTATTTCTTTATTTTACTTATGAGTAAACAGAAGGTCCAGGTTAAGCAAGTAACTTCTCAAGATCACACAGCTAATAAGATGTCAATTTAGAAGTTAAACCAGACTTTTCATTCTCAAATTCAGTGACCTTCCTACTTTATTACAATTGCTTTACCTAACACTGGTTGTATTCAACATTAGAAAAATTATTTTACAAACAGACATTGTCTAAGAGAAATGCTATTTAAATATTTCAGGTAGTGAGTAATTTTGAGAATATTTCATTATAACCACAAGTAATAAAGAGAAGAATTGTTTTAAATATATTTCCATTGGACCTTACTTTTTTTTAATTTTAAAGATGTGGGGTACAATTCAGGGTTAGGTATACAAATGTTCATTATGCAGGTACCCTTGTTGATGAGGTGTGCCACTCCCCCCCAACTCTGGTATCAGATCTTACTTTAAAAAATTGAACTGTAAGGCCAATCTATAATTATATCAAGTCATAAATGCTAGTTTCAGAGAGAATATCTACATTTCATTTCCTTGACGTCTTCTTTTTTTTTTTTTACAGCCAGGTAGCCAGGGGTCTCACTCTGTCATCCAGGCTGATGTGCAATGGCATGATAAAGGCTCACCGCAGCCTTTAGTTCCTGGGCTTAAGAGATCCTTCCACCTCAGTCTTGTGAGCAGCTGTAACTACAACATGTGCCACCATGCCCATTCTAATGTTTTTGGTTTTTCATAGAGATGAGATCTCACTATGTTGCCCAGGCTGGTCTTGAACTCCTGGGCTCAAGCTATCCTCTGGCCTCAGCCTCCCAAAGTGTTGATATTATAACACTGTACCTGACATCCATTTCCATATCTTCTAATTATCTAGCAAGGAATATACCCCCATGTTGAAAACCTTATCAAGATACAGGGAGGTTTAGAAGTAGAGTTGGTCACATTTCTCTTTTACCTATAACATAACATAATAATTTCAGGGTTGGTCTTATTTTAAAATTTAGAAATAATATATCATTTATAATATTTGACTTATAAATACAACCTCAAAGCCCTTTTAAATAAAATAAGAATATAAATTTATAAATAAATAATATAAGTTGTATGTATAAATGCACCTGGCTCAGAGCAAGGTACAATATAATAAACAATAAATAGTACTTGTGGTTGCTGGACTTTATCTTAAAGGTCACTGTTTAACAGTGAGATAAAAGAAAGTTGGCATAGTAAAACTTTTCTACTACAACTCGCATGTTTGAACTTCGCCAATAAGGATAAAAATAAATTCTAAAAGTAAAGTAAATGCTTTTGCTTCTTAATTAATATCTGTAGGATGAAAACACATCCACATGTTGTAAGGGGATATGAAAAAAAAATCAGATGAAGCATACAATCCTATGATGGGCCACCTGTGTATTTTCTGTGTGAACTGAGAGTCAGCACAGTGTCTCACAGGGGTACCTACCATGAGGTATTTGAGATGTCAAGGGAAACACAGCAATAATCGACTATCTGCCAGATCCCATTTAAATTACTAGCTCAAAAATATTTGACTGTTTCAACATTAGATCATACTATATTCCTTCTGATGATGTTATATCTTTACAAAACTGTTTTCAGCAGTTGCTGTAATAAAAAGCAAGTCCAAAACACAAACAAAAAAAGGGCAGCAGTGTGCAAAATCTGATTCCAAGGGCTTAAAATCAGAACAGTCCCCAAGAAAACAAAATGCCATTAATTAATTATGTGGTTATTTATTTAAAAAAAAAACACAAAAGCAATTTATTTCAAAGTAATGTTTTGACATAAATATGAATTAAGTTGTTTGGGAAGTAAATATTTAATAAATGGAACTATGGGATATTGAGATATTTCTTTTTGCCTAGGAAAAAGGAAACTAGCTGAGAAACTTTAAAGAGTCAATGAATCAAGATGGAAAACTCAGGGTTATCAGTATGGTAAAGAATATAAAATGTGTACAAATACCTCTACTGTGGCAAGAAAAATCAATTTTTAAATCCAGATTTAAAATGTTCTGTGGAAGAATGCTAACAATATTTTCACATCAAAATTTATATTTTATTTATTTATTTATTTTTGGTAGAGAGACCTATGAAAGTTACTGATATTATTTGGTGGACCTAAAAGTGTGCCTATTTGTCCAAATACATATGTATGAGAGACTTCTGTTTTCAGCCAAGATGAAATAAAAGGAACTAAACAACCTGAATCCTGCCTAAAACAACCAAAACATAGGTGAAACATATGAAACAATAGTTTCAAGCATCAGACAATGATGGCAAAGAGATGGAAAGACGAAATGAGCCCCAACTCACTGGCTTGAGAGTCTACAGACAGACTCCCTGAGTTGAGGGACTAAGCAAGAGTCAAGGAAAACCAAAGTAGCTAGAGCTCACAGAGGGGAGTCCCAGAGAGCTGTACACAAAGAACAAAAAGGGAAACTTCCAAGGGCCCACTCAGGTATTCAACTGAACATGATCATTCCAGGCATGGGAGAACATTCCAGAGGCTGGAGAAGGAACCACCCAAAAAGATTCAAGGTCAGAGTGTCTGTTTCTTACACAGCCAGAATGAAAGACTTCATGGTTTACAAACAGTGGGTAAAAAGTACCCAGAAGGGTCTTGCCTCTGTGGTGGGAAATAATTAAACCTAGTCTGAGCATTGTTCCAGGAAAACCTAAATATATTTTTTAAAAGACCAAAAGCACCAAATTGTTTCCAACTAATTTAACTGTACCCCAGAACAAAGTTCAAGAATATCTATAGAAACAGAAAGATATCCACCCAACAAAGTAAAATTCACACTATCTGGGATCCAACAGATATGCCAAAAAGAAAATCCAACAGTTATAAGACCAAAAAAAAAAAAAAAAAAAAAGAATCAACCAATTAAAACCAACTTAGAAATGACACAGATGTTATAAGGTAGGTGTGTGTGTGTGTGTGTGTGTGTGTGTATGCCATATATTAATACAAGGAAAGTTGAAGAACATTTAAAACACAAAATATTTCAGAGAAGTTTAAGAATAAAAACTAAAATCCTGACTTGCCACAGCAACTTTTATACATAAGGAAGACAAAACCAGAGGATTTTAAAGGAAGATACTATTTGCCTGATAGGAACAAACAAAGTTGCAGTATAATGTGCCATTCTGCTTTATTGAAGGAGTAAGTTTTTGAGTTATAAAACACCTTGGCAACTGCGTCGTACTCATAATTCAACAACATGACAGTAAAAGTACAAAACTGAGAGAAACTTACAGCTATCCTAGTGTTTGCTTCAAAACAAACACTTTTGCTTGCAGTTTTAAAAGTTGAAAGAACAAAAATTTTCAAAAATGGTGAAATTAGAAGACTCATATAGTTGCACTCCTTCCTAACTCTTCTAAAACACTGTAAAGTTTAAAACATATAAGCACATATGAAGAAAATGGCAATGAATAAAAAAACTCAGAATCTAGAAAACAGATGGCTAATTTGAATAGACTTGGCAGACTCCAGCTGAGAGAGAACCTGATTTCAGTGCACTCTCCATCCACAAAGCTGAGGAAACTGGCAGAGGTGGAAATGAGAGTGAAGAGAGGATGAGACGGCAGGACTGAATGAAGTCTCACTGGTCAATCCCAACATTCCCTGTCTACAAATAGCTAGCTAACTAGCACTCCCTAATTCCCAGCAGAAGACCTGAAAGTGATTCTGAAAGGAAGTAAAACACTTCTTGGAACAGCATTAAGATGGGCACTTGATGAGAGCATATACAATGAGGGCTGACCTGTCCAGTCATACCCCCCACTCCACATCTAGAGCAAGGTTCCATGCGACAGAAGACTGAATGACTACTTCTCCAGTGAGTCTGACCAGCCCAAGAAACAAACACTTTGAACAAATAACCACTGATAAGAGAGAGGAAAACTTCAAACGTTCTCAAAGCTAAAAAAAGACACTACACGTTTAAAACAAGTGAAAGATGGTATTTTTTTAAATGTGAAGGCTGGGAACAGTGGCTCACATTTGTAATGCCAGCACTTTAGAAAGCTGAGGCAAGAGGACTGCTTGAGCCCAGGAGTTCAAGATCAGCTTAGGCAACACACCAAGCCCTCGTCTCAAAAAAAAAAAAGAAAAAAAATTAGCTAGGTGTGTTGATATTCACTTATAGTCCCAGCTACTCAGGAGGCAGAGGCAGACAGATTACTTGACACCAGGTCAAGACTGTGGTGAGCCATGATCATGCCACTGCACTCCAGCCTGGGTGACAGAGTGAGAACCCAGACTCAAAATTAACTAATTAAAATTTTTTTAAAATTTGAAACACAAAAAGAAACTCATGAAACTAAAAACACAATAGTAGAGATAAAAACTTTGAAAGAAGGGTTGAAATATAAAAATTAAGAAATTTTCCTTCTAAATAGCAGAAATGACAGAGATGGAAAGTGGCAGAGAATTGTATAAAATTAGAGAACTAGCCCAAATAAAGAGTAAACACCAAAAGCATCTCCTTTGAAGAACAGTAAGTGACTATGGGTGGGCAGTGATGGTTAAACAGCAGAGAGGGGGACAGAGAGACCACTGCATTTCACATAAGGCCTTATAGAGTCTTTAATCTATATGCACATGAAACTTCATGCAAAAAAACAGTTTTAAGGTCATTT